AAGATTTACTGCCTGTAGCATGTCATCAGTGTTTGAACCTTTAGTCTAAAGTTGTGTAATGTTGCATGAAAGGGGAATCCCCCCCATTTCCATGTGATTTTCTTAAAAGAAGTTTGGTTAGATTGAGAATATTTCACACGCTTCCACTACAAAAACATGTTTTGTTCTGTGCTGTTGTCTTTTTTGAAGTTACAACACTAATTAATGGAAACTTCCTGCAACAATAGTGAGAGAAAAATCAAAAGCAAGGTCGCCACAAAATTCTTTTTAATGTTTCTCTGTGGGGAGAAAAATAAGTTATGAAAGCTAAATCTGAGATAAAATGGCCTGTCAAGAATGCATTATAATTGGTATTTTGGTCAAAGTGTATGCCTGTAAATGTTTGTAGCAATAACTTTTATTTCTTTTAACATGGTCGATCGAAATTCATTATTATTATTCTATGTCACATTTTGCTCTGCGGTGTACATAGCCTGTTCTCATAAGATTGGAGTTGTTCCATGGCAGTTGTTCTATTTTAATTACGACTTTTCATAACATCACAGAAAAGGATTTGGGATTCCAGCTCCCAACAAATCTAAATTACCCAAATTCACCGACTCATGATCTTCCCATCAAGGTTATTATAGTTTTGGATTTTTCATTAGTTTTTATTTTTATTTTGTTTTGACTTTTTGTTTTCAGTTTCAGTTTAGTTTTCAACGTGGTGCTAGTTTAGTTTATTTTTTATTAGTTTTAGTGTTAGTTTTAGTCTTCGTCGCTGCAGGATGCCAGGCTCAGTTCAGTTTAGTTCAGTCCAGTTTACTTTTTTCACAAAACATTTAAATACAAGTACAATCATTAGAAATAATGCAGATCTGTGAAAAGGGACACCTTTTTTAAGCTATCTGAAGCTTGTATGTAGGGGCCCAAACACTAAGAAAATTTTGAAAAGTACTAACACATTGTCTACATAAATACTACAAATAAATGAAGCACATGTAATCTACAGCTACAATTACTAAGATACATACAGAAAACCCTAAGAGCAAACTAACCTAATCCAAGAAATTCATTGCATCAGTCTCTAGCTCTATCATTCATGGTTAAATAGGTGAAATACAATAAATGGAGGTGAAATACAATTGATGGAGAGCTAAGAAAATGGAAGATAGTGGAGGCACAAACAACAGGTCCCTAGCACCCTGAAGGAAAGTATGACTGGAAAGCAGTTATATTAAAATCTAAACCTTTCTTAATCAAAAAAAAAAAAGGTATTAAAACAATGTGAAGCACAGGGCTGAGATATCAATGACCCGTTAACCCAGCCCAAGGGGAGCTCACAGTCAATGGACAAGGGGCAAGTTAATCCCACACTCAGGATGAGCTCTAAGCCTGACCATCAGAACAGAACAGAACAAAACAAGGAAAAGAAAACCACCAAGACAGTGACTCACTACCTGCAACCCAAACTAAACAAACCATAACTGTACAGTTGTTGCACATATTATTTTCTACCCATGTATGTATAAAAGATAAAAGAAAACGTTCAAATTCCACCAACTACGCATCTGGGCTCTCTTGACAAACAGGCAGCGTGCCAGCTCTTCATGTGGAGGACAAACGTGTAACACACCCGCGGCTCACCAACAGGTGCCTATCGGCTAATCACTGCACGCACCGCTGAACTGCCGGTCTGGAACTGACCAGCTGCCCCGCACCGTCAGTTCCTCCGCCTTCATATCCACTTGAAATGTAGGTTTATTTTGGTCCTATGAAATAAATAAATAAATAAAGGAAAACTAAGGATATTTACTCTTTCATTTTAGTTAGTTTTAGTTACTTTTGCAAATCTACAATACAGTTTTAGTTAACGTTTTTTTTAAAGCCTCGTTTTTATTTTTATTACAGTTAACGATGTTTTTTCACATCTAGTTTTCGTTATTTCGTTCATCTTCGTTAACGATAATAACCTTGCTTTCCATCCACCTTTTCAACCCAGAGGGAAATGGTATTGATCTTGCTAGCTAGAGCTAGGGGCATAGCACAAACTTCTGGGCCCTAAACCGTCTTTATGGGCCCTCTTCCTCTCTTGGTCCATGTCTCTCCCTGTTTCGATCCAGGGTGTCAGTGTGGACATTGTGGAGGATGACAAATACCTGGGAGTGCACACTGACAATAAACTGGACTGGGCCAAGAACACCCAAGCCCTCTACAGGAAGGGCCAAAGCCGTGTCTATTTTCTGAGGAGGCTGAGGTCCTTTAACATCTGCAGGATGATGCTGAGGATGTTTTATGTGTTTGTGGTGGCCAGTGCTATCCTGTTTGCTGTTGCATGCTGGGGCAGCAGGTTGAGGGTAGTGGACGCTAACAGACTCAACAAACTGATCTGCAAGGCCAGTGAAGTTGTGGGGGTGGAGCTGGACTCTCGGTGATGTCAGAGAGGAGGATGCTGTCCAAGCAACAAGTCATCTTGGACTATGTCTCCCACCCACTCCATAACGTGCTGCTCAAACACAGGAGCACTTTCAGTGCAAGACTCATCCCCCCAAAATGCACCACAGAGCGCCACAGGAAGTCATTCCTGTCTGTGGCCATCAAACTCTATAACTCGTCCCTCTAACTGGCTGACACATGGGCCCTTAGATAGTTATTATACTGGACATTATTACCTTTTTTGTACAATATTATCTGTTTTATAAGTAATGTTATAATAACAATTATTATTTAATACCATAATGGTTCTTTAATAATGTAAATATTGCAAATACCCGCACTCCTTTATATTTTTCTTTATATCTTATATTTATACTCTCATATTTATATACTCTTTATTCTACTTACTTTCTATTATTATTTTCTATTCCTGATGCCTTGATAAGTGTGCAACTGTGACAAAAGAACTTCTTCTCAGGGATCAATAAAGTATTTCCGATTCTGACTTTAAGCTTTGCTTGGTAATTGATAGATAAATTGTCATATGACTATGTAGCTATGAAGCTGATTAATTTATGATGCTGATAATGATGCAAATATGCGTAAAGCTAGATTCCTTGCTGACTGCCTTCAATCTAAACACCTTCTGATATTAGTCTAAACCATTCTTTGACTGTGTAAGTCTGATAGCCTCAGCTGTTTTTTTTTATTTTTGGGGGGGATGGAGGGGAATTCAGTCACTCAATTAATTTAGTTATGACACTACTTGCTTAGAAATAAAACACTGCAAACTTTCCATTCCAGGGTCTTAAGCCTCCTCCATCTGGGTAATCAGAATTAATAGCACACCTTGCACATGATGTTCAGCACAATATTGTCTATCGTTCATCTGACTGTAAATATTATGGCTAACTGCTGATGGAGGCACTGTTTTTGGTCCTTCCAAGGCTGTGACAAGAAGCCTTCAGAGTGAGCATGCAACTGCTGCTGGTGCGCTTCAATGGTAAAAGTGCTAAAAGAATGCATACATGCACTAGACTATAGGAAACAGTGGAAAACATTTTGGCAAACACCAGGGAATGTGCAGTTGCACACAACCTAAAGTTGCCTGACTGTAGAACAATTTGGACACCATCTCGTCTTCGCAACAGTGGAGGACATTGTTGCAGGACAAGGTGAATCACTGAGAAGGAGAGAATGTTATGAGGTGCTTGATCTAGTGAGATCAAAAATCAAGTGCAGGTTTGATCAAAGTGGGATGAGAACAGCAGCACAGAAGGAGCAGACTCTAATGGACCCGTGAAGGGCACGGCTGTAACTCAGGCCTGTTTCGGAGCAACATTGAAGGAGCTTCTTTATACCTCCAACTGAGGACACCGCATGACCTGAATAAACCTGAGAAGTATGAAATTGGAGAATTTATGTCAAACCTGCATCCACAAACAAGAAGACTCTTCAGTGAGGTTAAAAAAAACTAATCCAGCTGTTTATGTACTGCATCCTCAGAGGTCTTTCTCTGGGCTTCATCGGCCGAAAACTTTGTTCTGACTCAGAGGTGATTAACTCATCTGGCATTGCTGCATGTGCAGTCTGCCTAAGGTAGGATGTTTCTATTTTATTATTATTATTATTATTAATTTTATGATTTTTTATTTTATTACTAATGCCATGCAGTAATTTCTTATGTTGATTTGTATTATACACCAAAGTTGTGATTTTTACAGGTTGGGTTTAGAAGTTTGGCAGATTAGGACTGCACTCTTATTGCACTGCATTTTCAGGATCGATTATAACCAGGTTTGCTGTTTGTCTGTGTTACCAGTTGCTCTTACTTTACCAGACGCTGTGGATGTTTGACTGCTTTCTGACTGTGTAAGTCATGCTCCCTCATGCGGGCAAATTAACAAGCAGATGTAAAGATGTAAATCATAAATAGTTGTGATAAAAAATATGAGGTTTGCGCAGCATTTTGTATGACGTCATTAAGCGAGTGGGCCACACTTTCAGCACCCCCAACTCCGATCACCTTCCAGCGTCTCTGCACGTGGGCCAAGTCTCTGCTGTGTGGTTTTCATGTATCCAGATTCCTTCATACCTCAGTTGATTCTCATTGTCTCACCACATGCATGTAGTGTATGGCTGTGCATATAAGTGGAGAGGTGAACTGAGGGCAGGGGAACTGACATGCTCCCTCACCTCCGTCCTGAATACTCCTTCACCACGTTTTCCATGCTAAAAAGGAAAACGTGTTCCCATTTGAATCTCACTCTTCAAATCAATTACAGCCCTTCAGGCACAAACACGGTGATTAGAGGGTCAGTCAGTCAGTGATGTCAGACTAGAGAGCTTTGTAAAATGACCTGAGACTGATTGATAACACAAAAAGTCAGGGGGGAAAAAGGCTATCACTTTCAAGCAGGACTGACCTCTGTTTCTCTACAGAAAACATCATCTTGACAGCAGAAATGCTGGAATGTGATTGGTGTTGGGATGCTAAAACGGTGACCTACTTGCTTGATGACATCATACAAAATTAGTAAACAAATCATAAAAAAAGTATTTTTCATTAGTCTGAATGTTTAGGATACAATTCATGATGTACGTCCTTTATTGCATTAAATGACAGGTGAAAAAATGTTTTTGCCAGGATAATCCAGAGGGATGTGGATGCAGACATAATGGCAGACCTCCGCAAGAAGCACCTCCGCAGTTGAAAGGAAATCCACTTGTGGAAGAAAATGGAAAAGACAAGAAGGATGCTGGGTTTCAGTGATTGGTTTCAGTGGTGAAAGTGCATCATATTTTTTGGGTTTCCCTCTGATGTCCTCTGACTTCTCTGCCTCAGAGGTCATCAGTCCTTGCTCGAAGTGGGGACCCAACGTAACAGGTAGACTACACACATAAGCAATGCAGATGTTCATGCAAAAATGACCAAAGAAGACCAACTTCTGCTGAGGTCACTTGTCAACTGCAGAGGTCATCTTGCCGCCTGTTGGGCTGATCTTTCTAAGATCTTTTTTCATCTGTAACACAGGTGGGGAAAATGTTTTTCCAGGTGAAAAAAAAAGTTTTGTTTTTGTAAGTTATTATTTTTTCGTCTGTGAAAACAAGTGAAAAAAATATTTTGTCAGGATAGCTTTACTCAGTGTTCGCTGTGGTAAAACTCATTTCAGCCACAAGAGGCTGAAATATACCGCTACCCCATATTCAAAATTTTTGATTAAAAGCATTTATTTTTTCTTCCAGGTGTGTTTTAATTTCTCCATGCACTCTAAACACAATCTTGTGTGTAAGCAAGTTATGTAACATTACTGTCACATCTTTGGCTAGAAATGTATTTTAATCGGCGCTTCACCTGGAAGAAAACATGAATGGTTTTAGGCCTATTTAGAACATGTGGTTGTGGTGCACTTCTGCCTCTTTTGGCCGAAATGTGTTTTACAACAACAAACCCTTAAAAAGTCACCTGCCTCTCAGGGCTTCCATACAAATGTGCCAATCTTAACCAATATCACAAAAGTAATCACACACAGCAAAATCACTGTTTATAGCACACACGAGAGAGCGTGACTTACACAGTCAGAAGGCAGTCAGACTTCCACAGCATCTGGTATGGCAACAGCTAAGACAAATACAAAACCTGGTTAGAATTGTTCATGAAAATGCAGTGCAATGACATGACCAAGCCTCTAAACCCAATCTGTAAAAAATCACAACTTGGGTGTATTATACAATAAATAAGTCAGCAAAAGCAATTACTGCACGGCAGCAGTTCTTAAAATAGAAACATCCTACCATAGGCAGACTGCACATGCGGCAATGCCAGAAGAGTTAATCTCCTTTGAGTGAGAGCAAAGTTTTCGGCCAATGAAGCCCTGAGAAAGACCTCTGTGAGGATGCAGTACAGACACAAACACACCTGGATCAGTTTTTCACCACAATGAAGAGTCCTTGTTTGTGGACACATGGTTTGACATAAATTCTCTGATATCACATCCTGTTTGGAACTTTTGAGGTTAAGTGATGTGCAACACATAAAGAAGCTCCTTCAGTGTCGCCATGAAGCTGAACAGAGCTCATGTTGGCCTCAGCTGTGCCCCTCATGGAGACCCTAACTGTGCATTCCCTTTTGTGCTGCTGGTATCATCCCCACTTTGATCAAACCTCATAACATTCTCGTCTCCACAGTGATTCACCTTTTCCTGCATAATCTTGAAAGGTTTTCATGCCAAGCCATGCTGGCTAGAAAATCAAACTCCTTCAGATGGAAAGGCTCACTCAGTCGACCATCCAACTCGTCAGGGATGGGGCTTCCTGCTGAACCAGCATCTGCACCAGTTTCTGTAGCTGTGGGTGCACTAGCATTCGAACTAACGTTGGATAACTGGACTAGAGTCAGCTCTCTCTCCCCCGGGGCGTCACAATTACCACATTCTTATAGCTAGCTTTAACTAGCTGGATCAATATTGTCTCTCTCGACTCTCTCTCACTGGTGTTGTAAGGATGGATAGAAGGATCATGAGAAACGACTGAGTTTGTGAACTTGGGTAATTTAGATTTTATTGAAACCTGGAAAAAAATCCAATATACCCCAAAATAGTGAAAACACATTTACTATAAACTGCTTGCGTCATAATGCTGCACTCCCCCTCCCCCAGCACCCCCACTTCCTGCACCCACGGCTACTTATAATCTACAGTAATCACATTGCTCTCTAATCCTAATTACATGTGGCAGCATGTCTGTGTGTGAGTTCCTGCTAGTGTGTATGTGTGTGTGCACATATGTATAGATTCCGGAAATACTGAGAAAGTGAGAAAGAGGTGAAGATAAATTGATTAAAGACGCTGCACAACACCCCCAATCAGCTCACCTCACTTTGTTTCTTTAGACTGATCCGCATAGAAAAGGTCACGGCACTGTATAGTTAACAAAAGAAACATTTGATCAGGTGATTTTATCTAACAAGCATGCATATATATATATATAGTTCTCACTCTTTTGAATCAGTTCCTGAATCAGTAACGACTTGACTCAATTGTTTAAATAAGCTGCCACACAATGGGATATTCAATAAAGAGAATATCTAATTTTAAATCATTACATTTTCTGCCATTTGCCTTTTACTTGATCATCACATTCATGATTCATGATCACTTAGCTGTGTGTTACACAACATGAAACAGCCCTCTTTTGAACTGTATAAATAAAGCTGACTTCACTTTGGCTTCCTCTTTTACACACACATGAAAAGGTGATTCCTCTTTTTTTTTGCAGGTTTCATGGCTGACAGTGGGTTAATGAAGAGTGAATGGTTTACTAATCAGTCACAAGGACACAGTATTTGCACTTTTCTGTAGATTACTGGGATCGCTTTGACCTGAATAGGCCTGATTATTGGAGCAGGAGTCAGTAAAGATATATGAAGATAAATAATCATATAAAGATAAATGATGGCTGTAAACAATCATGAAATACTCTGAAAAAAGCACACATATGGCGTCATCAGATTTTGGGCCAAGGCTGACAATCAAAAAAGGTTTAGCAATTGGCCTTAAGCCTGAGAGTTTAAACATAAATCCATCCTGTTTTCTTGTGTATTGAAAAAATGTAAAAAAAACTCAATAAAATGACCAAAGACAGAACTTTCAGGTGTTTGTTCAACAGTCGATAGCAAATCATCAATGTGTGAGATGACATTTATTAAAAAACATTTGTTCAATTACATTGTTTCAACATTACATTGTTTGACAATCGCTCATGGAGGACGGCATCCTGCTAATATAGACCCGCTCCCGGTGTCAGAAACATCAGTGTCGGTTTTCTGGCTTAGCCTTTTAAAAACCGAACTTCACAGAAACACCAGAGTGAGATATTAGCACTCACGCACGCACGCACACACACACACGCACACACACACACACACACCAGTATTGTAGAAAAATAGAGTGATCACTAATTGAATCCAGTTTCAACTGATTCAAGACTTTTCCATACAAAAAATAATGACAATTGCTATAAGCAATCAATTAAGGTCGAAACAAGCACAATAACAGCCTTTAGGCTATTTGTCAAAGAGTCCTGAATATCTTCACGCAAGAAAAACAACATCATGTGCCGTGTGTGAACATTTGATAGCAGCATCTGAATATTTTGCACTGTGAGTTGGACACTTAAGCAGAATGGGCCGAGCGTCAGGCAGTCCATCGTCTTTAACTACACATGGAGCACCGCTGTTTGGGAATTCATCAGATCGTTCCTGTATTGCTCAAGCCAGTTTCTAAGATCAGAAATCCGGTATCCCTCCGGACCTCTGTCCCCCTGGTACACCACTCTTTCATCCCTCACGATGTATAGTCTCTCAAAGTAGGCTCCGTACGCGGCGTTGGATGAGTTGTCCATATTATCCACCACCACGTTGCTCCCGGGCACCTCGGTGAGCATCAGCTGAGCGGCTCTCAGTCTGTCCTCCAAGCAGCGGTGTTTGGGGATCTGATATGGCGCGTCCGAGCTCACCCAGCCGTCCGACGGATGCGCCTCCTCGATATATACAACTAAGAAGTCCGCAATGTCTGCGTACTGGCTCACGACGCGCTGAAACGCCGCCAGGCGCGTCATGAATGGCGGTCAGGAGCAGCTGCCAAAGTTAAGGATGAGCGGTCTCTTCCCTTTCATGCAGTCCAGGATCCGGACCTGCCTCCGCTCATGGACCAGCATCACCTCGGTGTTGGGAGCAGCGCGCCCCAGGTGCGCAGATTTGAGAAAGTCCAATTTCTGGCCGTACCACACGGCCCTGAGGGACTCCAAGGTGAACATCTTATTAGAGTCAGAGACGCACACCGGCGGGTCGTCCGGGCTGTCCTGCGTCTCTCCCATTTTCAGCAGCACTTTTTTCCTAATGCACAAGAAATCCAGGAGCCACAGCATGACGGCGGCCAGGAGGAACCGGGGCAGCAGCATCAGGCACAGGGCTGCATGCTTCAGCGCTCTGGCCATTTGGACACCGCCAGAGTCTTGGATCATCTCTTCGCCTGCCGATAAGATGCGACTGGGCCGGCGACAGAGCCAACTAGTATTTAGTCACCTTTACCCATTGGAGAAAACTATCTGACGCACGTAGGCACTCTTTTTATAGGTACAGCAGCATTTGAATATTGGAGGAGGAAAAAAAACGAAAGAAAAACACGCCTCCGATTCCCGCACCGCCCACTCACATGGCGGGGATTACCTCCCGTCCTTTCTGGGCTTCGAAGATCCAGGGAGAGAGAGAGAGAGAGAGAGAGAGAGAGAGAGAGAGAGAGAGAGAGAGAGAGAGAGAGAGAGAGTTTGTGTTCAAATTGACTGTTGCTGTTTGCTTGTTGATTGATTGTCATATTTCAGTAATGTCCTTTTTATTAGGGCTTGTGGTTGTAGAAATTGGCAGGCTATACCTTTATTATAGCAGACCTATTGTCTTTGTTGTAACTGTTGTCATAGTTATTTATAACTAACTTGGCTATTACAATTATTGTTGTTAATATTTGTTTGCTTTGACAGTATAATGACGCCAATAAAGCTCACTAAATTAAATTGAATTCAGAGAGAGAGAAAGAGAGAGTGCAGAGAAACAGCCTACAAGACACGTGCAGATTAAACATTGCAGTGTGGATGGATGCTTTTTTTTACGTCATTGTGAGACACCTATTAATTTTAATTGGCTGTAGCTGAGCGCATGGTTGGTCCTGAAAGTCGGAAAAAGAAAAACATTTGACTTCATTCTGCCTGTGGACTCAGATCTCTCTGTAATGAGCGCAGGAGCCTCTGGAACCACTAGACGGCGCTGGATTCAAACAGACTGTGAAAGGCTGAATGAGTCATTCACTGATCTGGCAGGGCCCCTGAAAACCTTGTGAGAATTAGAGGTAGAATAAACTACCATTTTCAGCTCAATTATTTGGAAAGAAATGAACCACTTTTTTATGTAGGCTATAGCCTATTCAGTGCATATTTAGCCCTTCACATGCTCCCCTCTGACAATGTCTAAACAAAGCTGAGCAATTTACCTTCACAAAGTTAACATTTACGGGCAGGACTACTGTATTGGATTATATTTTATTTTACAGATATCCTAACTAAGTTTCAATGCTGAACTGAACAGTCCCAGGCTGAATTCTTGTAAACTCCATGGTAAATTAATAATTTGTAATTTTATCTCTCATTTAATCCTTTTTTTGGTATAGAGTTTTTTGATATTGTTTTATCTTATTGCAAAAAAAGGGTCGTCAGCCTTAGTGGGAGTCAGATATCTGGTAAATAAAAGGTTAAATAAAATAAAATATTGATTGATTCCATTCTTATTTTCAAACTCGTCACATCCCCTTAGATAAAAAGATACAACCATCTGGCTCCAAGCAGAGCATGATCTGAACGTCACACTCGTCACCTCCCCTCAAACTACCAAAATGTGTCTGCCAGCACCTCTGCAGCTCACTTAATACCATGAGTTTCCTCAGTACTGTGAGGTTGCCATGCAACCAGTGGAGACTCAAGGAATTTTGTGTGGCACGTTACCCCCTGTAGGACCCCAATGTCTTTTTACACATCAGATTTCTTATCGATCCAACAAATAAGATCCAACATGTTAATCA